ATGGATGAGCCTGCCTCAAGCTGCCATAAGCTGGGAGGACCGACGGTTGACTGACTCTGCCTGCTTAGTTGGCCATTACCAATTCCTGAGGTATGTTTACTTGAAAGGAGACCAGGGATATGTAGGCCTACACTTAAATTGGTTATTCCTTTAATACTATGTCACCTCTTACGATGCTTGATTTCCTCTTTAAGTATTAATTCTAAATTATGCTAGTTTACTCTGTTTGTCATGTTTTAGAAGATGCGGACCGCCAAGCTTGGATGAGACTGGAAAATTACGAAGCTGCTCTATCTGGACAAGGATGCCCTCATCAGACACTTTCCAATTTGCGGAATATTGGATCCAAAATCAGACTGCATATTACTTTGCATTATTATAAAACATAAAAACGACGAAATTACGAATTCTTACGCCAAAGTTACCGCTATAATTGGAAGAAATAATAGCTTAAATCACTGTTACTTGTTAACTTTACTGAGATACCTATACCTGAAATATTTGGCAACGAATACGACGAAAATTGAAGGAAAAAAAGTCAAATGTGTGTAAAATACATTGCAGTGAAAATCAAATCATGAGCGGATTTTCTTCTCACAGAAATGCTTCTCCGCTTCCAACAAGTGGCCGAGAAAATGATGAAATTTACGCCGAAAATAACTGAAATCAGTGTTTTTTTTACCTTGACTGCGATACCTACCCAAAATATTTGACTAAACGCGTGTGACGAAACGTGGAAACAAAAATCAAATCAGTCCAAATTAAATTACAACGAAAATCACATAGTACGTAGAGTTTCTTCTCGCAGCACGGCACTCTGTTTCTTCAGGTAGCTACAGGAAAATTACGAAAATTACACCGCAAATCAACGTGGCATATAAGTGAAGTGACGAAACATAGTTTACACGGCTAAAAAAATCACAGCGTTAGTGAGAGAAATAATACTTGATATCCAGGGGCGGATCCAGGATTTTCAAAAAGGGGGGGCACAAAAACTTTGTGCACGTTGCACACATAACGAGACTGAAGCACGAAATCCCTTACAGGCAGGGTTGAGGGCACTGGAAGCTCTACGATTTTAGATGTTCTCTCATAGTTGCATGAGTATTTTAAGCCATTAAGAGCAAAATTCACAATGTTTATTTTTTAATTTTAATAATACTTTTTTTTCTATCAAATATAGAATTTAAAGTCACTGTTGATGTTAGTTGAAAATGAACCGCAAAATTAGAAGGTGCTGATGACAGCCCCCGGGTGAAAAAAAAAATGAAATGTGTTATTTTGCGAGCGAGCCAAAAAAAGTCATGTTTACTATTAAAACATACATTTCTACCCAAAAATTTGCCTTGCAAACAAAGAAAATAAAATAAATTGACTTTCATTAGGGGACAGCCTGCCCCAAGCAAGGGCGGATCCAGAACACAATTTTTGGGGTTTTTTTTGGGGGGGGGGCCAAAAACAAATTTGGTCCTCCAAAAAAGTGGGTCAAAAAAATTACGGCGTGGGGTTCGGGGCCCGCTTAAGGGCCCCGAAAAATGTTTGGACTCTAGATGCTCTGTGGTGCGATCTGAGGCAATTTCTTACCACTTTAACCAATGTTTTTTTGAGGAAAAGATGGTGGTGTACTCATTGCCTGCCTTTTTTGCGATGTCATATAAAAAAAAAAAATTGCTTTCGTTTTTTTGGAGGGGCCATGGCCCCCTTTGCCCCCCCCCCCCCCCCCTGGATCCGCCCTTGGCCCCAAGCAGCCCCTACCCCCACCCCACTCGATTTTGGTTGATGTTATTGTCGTTTCATTTTTGGGTTTTTTTTTTTTTTTGCTTCCATCATCATTAATAATATCCTTTTCGTTTTGCCCCTCTCCTGGTATTTTCTTTCTTTTACTATATAATGTCGTCGCAGGGCTGACAAACCGACGAATAAGCGAAAACCTTGTTTGGAGTAATTCGCGTTTGAAGTTGGACACTTCTCCGGGCGCCGTATTGTACCCTTAATGTTTCGATAAAAAAAACTTTTAGTATACATTCTGAATAAAATATGAAACTAAGTATCCACCAGGTCACTTATTTAATCAGAGAAGTTGTGCGATATGATTTTATTTGATCGTAAACGCATTCGTCAGTTTGTCAAATTACACTAATCTGCAATATCCGGTTGTTCTTCACACTGTTTGTATGCTATTCGTCAGTTTGTCGGATCGTGCGTGCACGCACGCGCAATCCGACAAACTGACGAATAACATTCGTTGGTACTTTGAACGCACACCTTACATAAGCTGGTTACCAGCGAAATGTTTGTATGCTATTCGTCAGTTTGTCGGATTGCGCGCGCACGGCGCGCGAATCCGACAAACTGCACGCGCAATCCGACAAACTGACGAATAACATTCGTTGGTACTTTGAACGCACACCTTACATAAGCTGGTTACCAGCGAAAAGTTTATATGCTATTCGTCAGTGATGCTATTCGTCAGTTTGTCGGATTGCGCGCGCACGGCGCGCGAATCCGACAAACTGCACGCGCAATCCGACAAACTGACGAATGACATTCGTTGGTACTTGGAACGCACACCTTACATAAGCTGGTTACCAGCGAAATTTCGTATTCGTCACTATGTCAAATTATGGATTTGTTTTTGTGAGTGATTCGCTACAAGGGGGGCTTTGAATCTCAAAATCCAGACAAATATTAAGAATTTTGGCATAAATACTTGAAAGAGCAACCTTCATAAAGCCTAAAAATAACAAAAAAATCGAAATCGCCAAAATGGTCGATTCGCCGGTTTGTCAGCTCTGCGACGATGTGATTGGTGATTTTAGTTCAATTCGTATTTTCTCCATTATCATCCCGCTTGTGTCTGTGTGTGTGTGAGCTTGTCTTACATACGCAGTGTGGACTTCCGAACAAAAGACGTCCACATAATGTAGGTAGCAGCGACGAAGTGTGGACTTGCCCACGTCCACACAGTGTTTCCCCATTTCTGGAAAACAGGTTTAGAGGCATTTTTGGGTTAGGTTTATCTGTAGCAGAATGAAGAGAAACACTAAAGGGAATCATTGAAAAAAAATTGGGTTGTAAGAGTTTTCACAGTTTGAGAAAAATGAGTTTTTCCACTGGTGTTCCTTAACTACACGAAAAGAAAGGAAAGTCCACACTAGGTATGTGAAACAAGTCTGGGTGTGTGTGTGGGTTTGTTTATGGTGTAAATCGAGCTCGCGCGGATGTGATTGGCTTCACTTTTGAGTCCCAGTATAATGTGTGGTAACTGCGGTCATACATACTTAATTTGTATATACACTTGCATACACTTTAACCACCATTTTTTCCATGTTCTTTTGAAGTCTGCAGGCTAAATAATTTAAGAGGAAATGAATCGTCTGCATTCTGCAAGTGTTGTCGAATCACTTCAAGAAATGTCAAGGCCTGAGGAAAATCGTTTATTTGTATTTGGGGGGGGGGGGGCTCCGATTTTCTTTAAAAGAAAAAAAAAAACAGCTTTTATTTAACGGAAATGCAAACTCATCCAAATTCCAATTTCCAAAATATAAAAAATTTGCCAGCACAAATTTCCCGAAAGCGGCAGCATTCCTGAGCTGCCGCTTTCACATACAAGGTTTCAAAATAGTCACATAAAAGATTTCTGGCTACGCAACCGGCAGTCCCAGGCATCACAGGGGAGCATCCTAGCAACAGTATTTCTAAGCAACCAGGTTGGAATGTGACGGGCATGCAGCCATGCACCTGTGGCTCAGATAGCTAATCACTCCAGTTGCGCGTGGAAGGAAGTCATATTCATGAAAGCAGACGGTCCGTGATGAAAGCAACCAATGGCATATTTATTTGCCGGGAACCGGCTCATTTCATTGGCTGAGATACTATCATCACTGTTTATCATCTAAGAATCTTCCAATTACTGACGGCAAGTTCTCAAAGGCCTTAAAGTTCGGTGGCCTGCAGCTGAGCCCAAATGTATATGCTTTGTAACGAACAAGAGTGGCATTGTATCAATTTGAACAATGCGGCTATCAATCATTCTCTGGAAAGGCTTTTCGGAGCTGACATTTTATTTGGGTATTTTTTTTCTCAGAGACAGGGGAAAACTTTATGCGAAAAATGTGGGAAACTGAATTGAACGTGAAATTTCACCTCCGTGTTGTGTACATGCACATAGATAAACGATTGGGGGATGACATTCCAAGTCCAAATAATTCATTAAATGTAGGGCTCCCGATGTCTGTTTTTTCGTAGTACGATTTTATTCTTCGCTTATTTAAAAAATAAAACTGCATGGCCTACATTATTCTTGTAAATGTTACTCTAGAATATAATTATTTCGGAATACATTTTGAAATTAAGTTTGAAGTCAAAGGGCTGTTGATGATCTTATTCGTATTCCTTTTAAAATTAGGAAAAACTAAGCATAATTCGTATTAAAATTTCCCCTGGAATCTACAAAAGAATTAACTGAGAGTTCAGAACTTAATGGGCTAGGGTGTTTGAAATCGTTTTACTTTAAAAATAAATCGAGAGAGTAAGACATACTAAATCGTATTAAAATAAACCCCTATTTATTTGATGTCTCTCTCTATCTGAGGCCGGGACAATATAAAAGGGATGACGATTAATTCTTCGTGTATTTAAAAAATTAAACGCATGGCCTACATTATTTTGTGAAAATGTTTTACTCTAGAATATATTTTGGAATATATTTTGACGCTATTATTTGAGGGATGTTGTTAATCCTGATATATTCATTTAAAAATAAGAAACACCGAGCATAATTCGTATTATATTCCCCTGGAATCTACAAAAGAATTAACTTAGAGTGCAAACTTTAACGGGCTAGGTTTTTTTAATCATTTTGCTTTTAGAGAACCAGACGTAAATCTCTCTCTGAGATCGGGAAAATAAAAAGGGGATGACGTTTTTATTCTTCATTTATTAAAAAAACCCACATGGCCTACATTATTTCGTGTACCGATACATGTTCTACTCTAGAATATATTTTGGAATATATTTTGACATAAAGCATTAAATGCAAGTGCTGTATTAAATGTGCCCCCAATTCCAGCCGGGAAATAAAAGTGTCTTATAAAAATATATTCTTGCTTTGAAATAAATTTTTAGACAATGATTGACAGGCTACCTTCAAAACTTATGCATTGTATATTTTTGTTTATAATTATGTATGATACTTATGTTCAAAGCGATTGATTTGATGACCGCCCGTCCGCCCGCCATAATGACTCCTCGAAAACGAAAAAGACAGCCATGTTCTCAAAGGAATTTTTTAATGCCCGCCAGCCCTAAAAAGACGACTCGTACAAAAAAAAAAACAGTTGCGAAAAGGGGGAGCACGGGCCGGGTGTGCCCCCGTCTGGATCCGCGCCTGTTGATATCAGTGTTATTTTTCTTACCTACAAAGTAAAAAACTTTCGATTGCGGAAGAACAAAATTAAAGAGACGAAAATTACGGTAAAAAGATTAACAGCGGCAGCGAAAGAAATAAATATTTGAAAATCGGTAATTTTCTAAACTTCTAGGCCCTATGTCATGCAAAAATTTGCTAAGGAAAAATGACCGAAATAATGTTAACAAAAAAAATTCAAATTATAATCGGCAGCCACTTCCGGTACGGTACTACACTGCTTAAAAAAGTCGGAAAGCGAATTTTGGTAAACGGTGGGGAAAATGACGGCAGGAAAAAAAGGTAAAAAAAGACGGGAATTAAGGAAAAAATCCATTAGGCCTATATCGATGTAATGAAAATGACTGAATTTCAATTAAAGCAGCAATGTTAAAGGCATTCCCCCCGAGTTCTAGGCCTACACGCCACATCTTTTTTAAGTATTATTCGTCAGCGAAAATAACTGCAATTTGTGACATTGTCAAGAAGTTTGCCTTCAAAAAGGCCAGACATATCAACAAAGCGATAGGGAAAATGGCTGTATAAGACATGCGACATATTTACTATCGCATGCGACATTTCTTCGTGTTTTTGTAAAGGTTTAAACTTAATCTACATCATTTTTGTGAGTCCGATTTAGAAAGATCCGTAGGGATACATGTTTTCTTCAAGTATATATTTCTCCTTTGAGTTACTCATTTGGTTGTCTTACTTTGACCTTTGATAACGTATAAGGCCGACAGTGCTGTTTTATTGAAGGGGAGAACACGAAAACCATAACGGAAAAAAGCGTTGCAGCAGTTAAAGAGATCGGTCGAATATAGACTTTCACGATCAAATCTTTGTGGGCTACGAGTATACCGTACTTAACGTAAATTTCAAAAGAAAGCATTTCAAGATGTGCGACTGATTTAGAGTAACATAGAAAACTATTATTTCCTTGTTGATTTTAGCCTACGTGTAACCCTCCTTCCGTATAGTACTATGTTCAATGTAAGTCCGATTTGGAAGGGATCGGCAAGGATTAAGATGGCATTTTGTCATCTTAATGTCACGTGAATTTCTTTTAATGGTTGTTTATAGTGTGCGGGTAATATGCAGTTTCCAAAGCAACCTGCCATTATCAGCGTCGGCACATTATGACAAAGTAATCGTGTCTGTTTTAAAAAAGGAAATAATGGAAACATGGGTAGAATCGTTTGGTTTCCATTGGGTCCTACCCGTACCCATGACCTGGTTATAGGTAGGCTTAGACATAATTATTGGCTACATTTGCAATGTTACACTTCAGTAACAAATGGGCTAGGCCCAGTGTTTTCGTACCCCTGTCCATTTAGGAAAGAGTTGCATCTTTCATCAAAGAAACTGACATCTAAAAGTTGAGACAAACTGGATGAGCTAGGCTGCTTTGTCTGGACGAAAATGAACCCTTCAAGGCTCCAACAGCCTCATCACACAGAAACTCGAGGAACCGGAAGCAGGAAGGAGGACCGACGGATAAACGGATGACCTGCTTGCTGGGCTTCCCATTACTGATTCTTGAAGTTAGTTTACATGTAGGATTCCTCTATAGTCACAGAACTCACAATTGGTGATTGGCGCTTTTCTGTGTGCCTTCCACAACGAGTGCTGGTATAGCATTGTGTTGCTTTGTGGGGTAAAAATCGAAGTTTTCTTTCTCCTTGCACATATTTCTTAATAATATTTCAGATTTTTTTTTTTTCGTCATTTGAATCCTTGTATAGAAATGATGACCACTGACTGATGAGGGAATTGACTCATGAGATGAGGATGAGCCTGCCTCAAGCCATCGTAAGCTGGGAGGACTGACGATGGACTGACACCGCCTGCTGGCCTGGCCATTACTGATTCTTGAGGTGACTTTACTTTGAAAACGAAAAAAGACCAGGGTATGAGGATTATAATTTGTTATTTCTCTGATTGTAGTTTGTCGCTCCTACAAAATCCACAGTGTTTGATTTCCTAATATATGTATATTTTTTTTAATTTGCTTGCTTATTTTTTCATGTTTAGGACATGAGGTCCACCAAGCTTGGACGAGACTGGACAATGACGAAGCTGCTCTACTGGACAAGGATGCCCTCATCGGAAACTTGAGTTTAAAAAACTAGCTTGCACAAAATGAAATGATAAATCAGACTGCATAATGCAATGTCATTAATGTTATACACTAAGGCAACAACACTAAACGAAAAGTAATTGATTTCATTAAATTATTTATGCCTCTAAAATAATCTTAAACCGGATACTGCAACAGACAGTTAACATTGGACAATAATGGAAACTTGCTGAAAAATTATTGTCAGGGTAATAATTTGTCACTGGCTTTTTAGCGGTGACATTTCTGGGAGAAGGGATGTTCCTTTGATCTGTCCTGGGTCATCCAAAATTATTACATCAATAAGTTCATAATTTCATACTCCTTACCTTTAATGCATTCAATTGGATCTTCTCGGTAAATTGTAAACGAGGTCTCGCCAAAGGCTTTCTATTTGCTTTTTGTTCAGTTGACAATGGAGAATTTTGCTCTATAAATCTAATTTGATATTGAAAGTGCATTTTTAAGAAAACCAATTTAAGTCATAAGAGTTTTGAAAGATTTCAAAAAGGATTAATTTATTGTTTAAAAACTGAAGAAATGTAACAAACTTTATTTAAATTTAACGTCTTTAACAAGACGTCGGTTTAACTAAAACGTGACTTTATTTCCATTGTATATTTATTAGAAAACACAAGAACGTTTAATTTTTAGGAAAATTTAAAGAATAAACTGTTCAAGAACTTCTATCCATCAAAATGCATTGCAACAGGTATAAGTGACACTCGAATTACATTTGTGTTTGTCCTTTTGTAATTTATTTCATTGCACTTTTTTTACTTGTTATATTTTTTACTTCGTATGCACAATTGTTTTTCTTGGTGGTTTTGCATGTCTTTTCATTTTCTTATTGATAATTAACTAACCTCACAAAAGGATAAACGCAATATATTTCGAGTGTTGAACTTGCCTGGCATCAAATATTTTTTTTCACATAATAGCTAAATTAGACAAAATATAGTCCTGAAATGTTTTGAAATAATCTAGGAATTTTTTTGGAGGGGGGGCGGGGCATTCCCAAGTTTTATCTCCCTTTTTAAACTCTTGTTCACAAAATGGCGAAATACAAAAACCTGGCTTCACCGTGTACAGTCATGTAAGAGGTGGCTTATGTAATAATCATCTATGGTATTATAAAGTGATTATTAATTTCTCAAATTTATTGGCCTTCTGACCAACTTTTTCCTCATTTTGAATCTTTTGTATTTGTTTGTATGAGTTGGTTTAAATATTTGTATGTCAATAAGACTAAGGAATTAAACAAAATAAATTAAACTTGAAAGATGTGAGACACTTGATATCCTTGGAAGGTTGTCAGTATTTTGCCTATTTTGTTTTAGTTGTTGCGGGGGAAGTCAAGCTACTACAAAAGTAACAAAACCCAGCTGAAATGACGTTTTATTATGTATGGGTGATTGGGGGCGGGGTGCGCACATAAAGGCACGTCAGGGAATATAAAATAATTAGGTGTTTTTGTAAGGGAAATCTTTATCTTATAGCCTCCTAGGTTCTACCTTTTAAGATTGTCCAATAAAAAGACCAGAATTTGCATACACCGGCCAAATCACAATTTGCATGCCCCCATGGGCTTTTAAAAAGAACTTTTGCAAATGGGAAAGACACAGTGCCTTTGGAAACATCCAATTAGTTTGAATATGCTTCATGAATTTCTGAATAAACGAGCACATTTAAAACAGTATTTAATTACTATTATTTTTCTCGATGTGGTGGTGGGGGGTGGCTGGGGGGGGGGGGCTAGATAGAAGATATATCAGAAGTGGCGCAATAAAACTGACAGCGGGCGCAATAATTTTGATTAGGGTTTCAAATATTTCTACGCGAGTCGTTAATTTGCATAAAAAGTTCCTCCACAATTTTTTGTAAAAAACGAGACCGTCTAGTTTAAAAATCGGTGAAATCGTGCGAATATAGCCGAGGATCATCTCACTAGCTTTTTGGGCTATTATCTAAGAGCAGATTCGATAAAATAAGGGTCCAAAAATGGGTCTTATTTGCACGAGAAAATGAATGCCATTGGTCACTTTGGCAGTATGCAGGCTCAGCATTACCGGCACGCTTCAACCCCATTATGGACACACTCTTGCAAAATGTGGTTCGGCAGCTTTCGATACAAAAACCTCGTTGGCTCGGGGTTTTGTTCGTAAACCTTATCAGTCAGCCGATCACTTTAAACTGACTTCGGCCAAACCGCAAGTCCCATCATAAGGAATAAGTTAACCGGACCATTTTTTCCAAGAGTGTGTCTCTAATGTAACCGCGGTCTACAGCTGCAGCCAGATGCTTTATACATAGGTCATGATAAATTACCCAGAATACCATCCCAACTTCCTTCACAAGATTCTGTGAAGCTCATCTGCCCTTCCCAGCGCCCTGTTTGCAAGGTGCGGGATACGAGCGAAACGACCCGGGTGAGCTAAACGAACGCCCCTCCCCCCCCCCCCCAAAAAAAAAAATTGGCAAAATGGTCAAAACTAGTCACGAGAGGGCGCACTGCACTACAATGTCAGCTATAGCTAGCTAGCCAGTTCCACATTCATGATCATTGTGACCGTTTCAGCCGATTTTCGGCTAATTTTGACAGATTAAAAAAAAAAAACGGGTTTGACAGAAAATTTTACAGAATGCGAGTTTTGGGCAGATTTCTGGCAAAAACAGCATATTTGAAAAAAAATTGTACATTTGTTCAAAAAGCCTTCAATCCTTTCAATCAAACCCTTGCATAATGGGACAGGTTGGCTGGTCTAGGTGCCGAGGTTCACTGCGAACAACCGGATTTCGTCATGACGCAACTGCGCTTGCTTGAAATTTATGCGATTTCATAACATATGTGACTATTGTTTATAATGTAATTTGAACCTTAATAAAGGCAATACTACAACATCTGCATGTGATGTTACGTGTTTAAAGTGTATTTCGAGTAATTCTCATAGAGCTGTTCTGGGGAATTTGGCAGATTTTTGATAAATCTGACAGATTTCAAAGTGCATTTAGCAGAATTTGGACATGATGTTACGGGTCACCCTATTCATGACATTATATGCATTATTATCTGACATGTCTGACAGTCGACAGTGACCAAGAGTACATGTAAAAGTAAGATGCACCAAACCATATGTTCACGGAACATGACAAGTAGAAGAAAGGTAATTTGTTCATTTTTGTGGTTAACAATACATTAGAAATACAAGCTGGGTTGGAGCCTCTGTAGTATCATGGATGGAGGTTGACTAGCCTAACTGAAACTGAAAGTGAAAGCGTCGGACTTGACTAGCCCGACTGCATCTGGCCGTAGCTTGAGTAGCCTAACTTCAGCTGACAATGCTCAGTCATATTCATTCACATGTAGCGCTGGAGACATAACCTAGTAGTACTCGTGAGAGTGTGGTAGCAAGAGACCCTAAAAGACCGTAATGGCCTCTCAAAAATTGTCAATTGATGCATCAGTCATGTCAGTTACATAATTAACAAAACAAAATGGACGACAGCCGTTGGAACTGGCGGTTACAGACAAGCCACCGAGATCGTCAAGATTTTTCACATTTTTTTTGTGTGTGGTCTGTTTCAAGTCAATCATTAGCTTCGTGAATGACTGCTGAATGTACGAGGTATGTAAATGAAATCTGGGGTGGGATATTAGAGGTGAAAATGGAAAATTTTTGAGAGGCCATTATTTTAGGGTCTCTTGCTACCACACTCTCACGAGTATTTACCCTAACTCCCTAGGGGGTGTGCAAAATTGTATTAAAATTGGAGGATTCAGGACTGTTATGGCTAGGTTATGTCTCCAGCGCTACATTGTGAAATGAAAATGAGCATGTCAGCTGGAGTTACTCAAGCTCGGCCGTACAGTACTCCTAGAGATAAAATTGTTTGCAGCACAAAACACTAATTAAGTACAAAAACGTCCATCAAAAGTTTCAAAACACAGACATTTCCCACAGAACCGCTGCACAGTTTGCCCCTAAACATGCTAAACTCCGTACTATACCTCATGACATACTCGCGTAATATGCGCAGAACAAACATCGCTGGATTCTGTCGTTTTTTTGGCCAAAATGATGAAAAATATGCCCTTTCCGCACTGAGCCAACCTGACACTTGAAACGTGCACGCATATGATCAAGCGATGATTTTCGGTTCGCTCGGGGTACAGTACAAGCGAAATGATAGTATGTGCATGCGTACAAGTGCAAGTACCGTACCCCCGCGGCGCGCTCCGAGCGAACCGAAAATCATCGATCGATCATATGCGTGCACGTTTCAAGTGTCAGGTTGGCTCAGTGCGGAAAGGGCATATTTTTCATCATTTTGGCAAAAAAAACGACAGAATCCAGCGATGTTTGTTCTGTGCATATTACGTGAGTATGTCATGAGTACAATCGCAAGCTCTGTAGTACGGCCAGACACCCAATGCTCCCCTAAACACTGAACTCTGAGGTAGCGATTTTGCTACCGATTTTGATCGAGATTATCTTCTCATCCAGGACAGACATTTCCAAAATTAAGGTTCCTAGTTGTAGAGGAACTCATACCTTTTCGAAAAAACGTTCTTTTATCCCAAAATCTTCATCTACCGGTATATTGCCAAAAATATGACTTTCAGTCATTATCTCCCACAAATATCGTCCCGAATTGTTCCTCCATGCGATTTCAAAATGGCGGCCGTGTTGTAATTTATGCATTATGCGGGTGCGCTTAGGCAAGATTATGAATATGCATTGCAGTTCGTGACGTTTGTCGGTTGCACGGCGCGGCTGGCCATACAAACACGAGGTCATGAACTGAACAATGCATATTCATAACCTTGCCAAAGTGCGCCCGCATAATGCATACATTACAATGCGGCCGCCATTTTGAAGTCGCATGGAGGAACATTTTCGAGACGATATTCGTGGAAGATGATGACTGAAAGTCGTCTTTTGGCCAGATGGATGAACATTTTGGGATAAAAGAATGTGGTTTTTTTTAAAAGGTATGAGTTTTTCTACGACTAGGAACATTAACTTTGGCAAGGTTTGTCCTAGATGAGAAGATAATCTCGATCAAAATCGGTAGCAAAATCGCTACATCAGAGTTCAGCGTTTAGGGGAGCATTGGTGTCTGTCCATACTACAGAGCTTGCGATAGTACTGTACGGCCAGATGCAGTTGGGCTAGCGTCGGACGTATCCTCGATCCTCCATGTAGGCCTAGGGGCCTAGTCGTTTTCCTAGTTTCGAATAGCAAACATCATTTCAGGCTGTTTTCGGCTCAACTACTCCACGAACAAGTGACATTGAGTAATGGAGAGACCACAAAACAATTTTCAAAATTTAAACTCTATTTTGATTTTACGACGTCAAAAGTACCGATGTCACTTTTCCTAGTTCTGGATCGGTTCAATCAGTTCCGAATCGATCAAAACTGCTTCACACGAGAAAAAAAAATCCCCCACGAGAAAATCTCTTTTTATCAGCCAGAACCAACCAAATCAAGCATATTTTCTGGTAAAGTATTATTTCATTATCCAAAAATAGGGTAGACGTCCCGAATATCGGCACGTCCCGAAATTCGGTAGCCCTTAATAGTGAACTGGCCTGCCAACACTGTCACGTGACCACCCATGTTGCTATCAGGTGACATGACGAACTCCCGCCCTTGGGTTTTCAACCCAAAAAACAGAAACTTACGATGCATTCTTGCAAAAAAAATGGGATTAAAAATCTCTCCGTAAAAGGCGAATTATATTTACAAGTTTTTAGGATTCCTTGTAAGATGGGGTTTAAGATGAAAATGATGATTGCATCCATTTTTTCATGTCGGATTGGTTAAAATGGAAGTTTTTTTCTGACGTTGGTGATGGTTTGTGCCGCTGAGAGTGGACTGGAAGATCGTCTGTACAAAGTGCAGGTGTGTAGTCTTGTGGGGGATGCCGAACTTACAAGCAGGCATGGCAGGGGTCAGAAAGTGACCCGAATTTCGGCACGTGATTAACATCTCACAAAATCAAAATTACAATGTAGCTTGATAACCATTTTGAATTTTGTTGGGGACTTATAACTAATATAGGGCAAAAATACAACTTTTACGGGTGTAAAAATATAAACCTACCTACCGAACTAAATGTGTGTGTAACGCACCTTTTTCCCCACGCGCTGAAACATGGTGCCGCCCATGGCAGAAGCACGTGACTGCACGCATTGCCAAACTTACATGTACGCACAGGGTGCTGAATTTCCGGACAACATGATCGTCTTTCAAAGTCACGTGTCATTACCAAAGCAGGTTCGGTATCGATTTAGTTTAGGTATCGCAACATGCGCTATGCCCACTTGCTGTGTCTTGACGGGAGTACCGGGTATTTCGATACTGCATATGTTGAAAAACAGTAATCGACTCTTATGGTGCTGAAATTCAGGACGTCTACCCTAGTTCATTCAAGAGAATTCCAGCAAATTTTAAAAAGAGAAAAAAACGTAAATGAATTTAAAACTTTTGTCTGCAGCGCAACGGCTCGAACTCATGCACAGACCGAGAATCTTTGACCCAGCACAGAATGCGTCACACAAAATTGATTAAGTGCGAGTCGGAAATCTGCCCAAAATTCCTCTTCTAAAGATTTTATCGGAAAAATCTTTGTGTATCTACTAGGAGCTTATATTTTCCTTTTCAAAATGCACATCGTCCAAAAAAAATTTATTGGAGACTTATATCCAAAAGAGGTAGGTTTTTATTTGAAGCTATCCGGAACTAGGAAAAATCTGGGACTAGGAAAAATCCGGAACTAGGAAAACAACTTTATTTCTTCGTAGATATTAAGGCTTTGCAATAAGAAGCTTAAAAATAGCAAAGCAACCACTCTTAGCTCTTTTCCTCAACAAAACTTATATGTTGGCTTACGATCATCCACCATACCGATTAACAGAGTAAAATCTCTTTATTTGTGGCAGCAAGCGGGATTTCCAAAGCGTGCAGTTTTGGCGTTGTAGAAAAAAATCCTGCCTAATTCTACGCAGGGGATGCTTTATGAAAAATCTTTGCTATCCGATATCCGGGCCATGTACATGTAACTCAATATACATTGTAGGGCCTAATATTTATTTTTTAAAATGAGTTAGACACCTTAGTTTTAGGAAAATATATTTCCTTGAGCTTTTCAAACATTTTCTTTCTTTTTCCTTTCTTTTTTTTCAATGCCAATACACTTTTCATAATTTCAAGATTAATTTCAATATAATGGTTGAATCCTCAATAGATTTGAAAAACAGAAAGTAAAATTGTTGAACTAAATCTTTGGGAACTTTAAATTTTTGACTTGTTTTGACTTTTGGACCGAAAAGTTTTGATTTTTTTTTGACCGAAAAAAGGTATTTACGAATGGGAATAAATATGCGCTTGGTTGGTATTAAACACTTTGTTTAAGACTGGTCGGAGTCTGGATGCTGATAATAACCCTCAGCTTCGCCTCAGGTAATTATCAACATTCCAGACTCCTACCAGTTTTATAGTGTTTAACACCTCACAAGCACACCCATGTTTGTTTTACATACCTACCTGTAGTATGGACATTCCTTTGTTTTCATGTAGTTAATAAAAACCAGTGGAAAAACTCACTTTTCTCAAACTGATTTTGCCACGGATAAACCTACCGGTACATGTAACCAAAAAATGCCTCTAAAAATGTTTTCCAGAGAGGGGAAAACCTTGTGTGGACGTCGGCAAGTCCACACAACGTCGCTGCTACCGGTACCTGCTTTATGTGGACATCTTTTGTTAGGAAGTCCACACAGTGAATGTAATGCTTGTCCACATGTATTCCCTTATTAAAAGACAACCAGCATCGGCCAAATATCCACTGCAACCAAGAAGGGTGGATTTACCACAAATGACAAAAAAACTCTCTATTTCACTCCTACACATGTATCCAGATGTGAAGACAACATCAATCTATCAATCTATCACTCTGTAGGTGGAGCTAGTCAAGGATGAACCAATCAGACAGGGATCCTTACATTTATTGTGATGTGAATTTATAAGGACTTTAAAGGACATTATTTAATAGCTATCAGATACTGTGCAAGAACGTGGTACCTCGACTACTGAATGGCACGATGCAGTTAAAATCATTCTACCCTACCAAACTGCACTTGCAATGGTGGTGAGCTAATGGCAAAGTTAACTGTACATATATTTAAAGATTTGCAAAAATTATACTGGGTTTTCTGGAAGTTGCAATATTTCAAAAACAGTCACAATTTTTCAGAAGACTTTTTGGAGGATGTATGATGCACCTATTGGAAACTAGTTATAATTTGTATGCTACATGTAGTTTCAGACAAACGTGCCAACTGGAATGATGAATAGTGCTCCAATGGCTTGATGTTTGATGAGGAGCACAATTTTGTTCCCCTTATGGTACATGTAGTTGTGTGAACGTCAAATATTCTACTTTTTAACAATCTTTTTGTGAGGAATGTGTTTTACAGCCCAAAAGGATAGGTTTCAACCAACATGTCCCGTACAAATACATGTGTGAATTTTGTATTTAGTGATTTTTTTTCCTTTGGTTCTCCCAGAATGTACCATTCATCGTACATACAAGATGTACTTGAATATTACATACACAACTTGGATCTGATTTGGTGCTGCTCACGTCGTCCTGTTTTACAAACCTGTCAGCGCAGACATTCAAAACAGCAACAAAACTGATGAAGAATGGGGTTGCTATAAAACTTGAGAGTGTACAGAAAGAAGTCTACAGCTTCAAGTAGACTTTAGGGAATCATGGAACAACATTTGGTTTTGAGGAAGCCACTGAGAGACATTATCTTCGTGCTAGCCCTTGCGGGGGTTTGCTTTGGGAGACTGTATAATCCCTGGAAGCCAGACATGATGCGTCGTCATGGTGACCAGATGGAGGAAGATGAAAATGAGCCAGATCCAAACTTTTTTTATCTGGATGCCCTTATGCCAGGTGTCCTTCCACAAAGAGTAAGTATTCAATAATAATTCAATAATGGCTTATTAAAAACGTGTCTAGCAGTCAAAATCTGAGTTGTATACAATAACAGAGGTGAACATTTTATATCAAGTACCAAGTGGTACAAGCCACGGCGGTTCCACGAACTGTACAACTGTGAATTTTGCCATGCAATGGGACATCATCTAATATGCAACTTAGACGCATGCGCAGCAGTGTCACAAAGCTGTAGGTATTCCATAGAAACTCACTGGCAAAGCTGTGATACACGCGTGGCATGGAACAGTATAATACACCCCGAGTAAACTGTCCACAAACCAACCAACCCACCCACCAACCCACCAACATAAGCAGCTCAAGCCCACGGCGTGTTTTACACCGCCGTGGGAAAAACATTTCAAACAATTCAGGCGATTCACAATGCAGTGCGCCACCAAGAGTTTGCCATGGAGAGTTCATTTTTCCCAGTGCATTGTGGGAGATGGTCGACAAATTCTCAGTGCAGGACATTTGAAATCGTTAGTTTTTTTCGGTCAGTGGTTTCGTAAGCGTATGATTCGAGGCTCTGTCTACCCATTTATTTTCTTGTCATCAATATGGTGTTCTTGGTAAGGCGGCAGAATGCTATGCCCCAATCGATGACATATCAGCTCAAGTTGTCTACTGACACTCATTCAAATGGGCTATGTTTTGTCGACCGTAAACTTGAAAAATGGACTCTCCGTGGCAAACTCTTGGTGGCGCACTGCATTGTGATGTTTGTTTTTATGACAAACTCACGATGATGGGACGTAACACTTTTTGGTTGTACCGTACATTGTTTCAGTTCAGTTATATGATTGTCACTGGCAGTTAATTTATTAGTTTCACATTGTTTTAAGCATTTTATCATTTGACAAAAGGTATTGAAAGGAAATGAGTTCTTCAAATTACATGAACATTTATCAGCTTTAATTCCAGTTGGATGATGTCGCAGCATTATGTCAATAACATGATTTCATTATCAGCATTTGTCCCACAAATATCATTATGGGCACATTTCTGGTGCAGCATATGTGGCTACTCAAAAATAGAATCATTAGTGGTACACTTCATTAGGCCAAAAAAAAAAGTCTCCGGTTTCTGGTATGGAGCTTGCCCAAAAAGTGGTGCGGCGACGCGGCTTTTTTTTTTTTTACCTGATTTTTTTGCTTCAAATGTCGGCTGATGACTGCAAATGGTGCCCGACTAAACTTAGTGAAAATATATGGGAGTCCAGAGAGGCCACATAAAGCTTATTCTCGACCATAACCCAATCTAAAATTAAAAACACGTTAAAATTGTGCAGCAGCAGGATTCCAGTCAAACCAGTGAGTTTGGCGATTTTGAGACATCATCTTTCATTGAAAATTTTTTTTTTTTTATTTTGCCGACGCGCATGGCTACGGCGACACGGGCGCATACCAGAAACCGAGACTTTTTTTTTTGGCCTTATGGAGTTTGATGGAGTCTCTAATTTCCTTGCAGTTTATGCAACGTATGCTTATGTCTAAAAATATCTTTTACAGCCTTTTTGTCTTTGCATTGGCATAATAAATTTCTGCTCTGAGCTAAAAAGCATGATTCATATGAAATGGACAAAACCTTGATTTTCTGCGCTAACCCTCCTACGGTTTGATCTGTCACAGACAGTCAAAAAAATCAATCATGTTCCCCTGCCATGCCTTCTACACGCAGGTTAGTCACCAACAGTCAGATCATATAAGATTATAATGTACACCAAATTCAGGTACACGCTATTCATAAATGTGTACAGCATGGGTAGTATTGACTCGGTGCAAAAGGGCCCGCCTCAATTATGAAAAAAAAAGAAGAGTACCGGTATGTACATGTATGTGTTATGGACTCTTGAATGTCATTGCCACCATATGCCTGATACCCATCATGCCATGCGAAGACACCACCGGGTTGTGTATGGTTGGTGCACACTGCAGAATCAAATGTTATAGTGTACATCATGTACATGTACGTACGTGTGGGTGTAATGTACTTAACGTACATATGTACAAGGAGGGGGGGGGGGGGGAGGGGAAGAGCCAAGTGCCTGTGGTGGTCTGTGTGCCTCTTCCATTAGGGCAATTCCACGGTAACGGAAGGACGATTTCACTCATTAAACAAAATTTCAAATGAGTGTATCACAGACACTGTTATTAGTTACAGCAAACAAATGTCACAATTGTATTTCTATAATGCTACATGTACCTTCAATTTCCACACTTTTGGGGGCATGAATACCTCTCGTTAATGAATTATGAATATTAATGAGGTCAGTAACGGAAGGACGGTAAAACGGACAAGGGTTTTCCAACTTACACACGTTTTGCATAATGTTTGTGAATTTTATGGGGTAGGTTGGGGGTAATTATATTTTAAAGGTAGGAAATGGAATCCCTGAAGCTTTATCTATACTATACCACCTTTCATTTGAATTTAAGTGTTTCGGTAATATAATTACAACGTCTTAAGTGGATTATAATTTGGTAACGGAAGGACGGTAACGGAAAGACAAAAGGTTTACTCAATTAAAGCATGAACAAAATGTGAATTTACATGTACACTAATTATACAAGTGAAACAAATTGCTGAAATGTGTAACTGAATGTGAAATCAACAATATGCAGCCCTGGCATAAATAATTATACCCAAGAAACTATTGAGATAAAGATAGAAGCCTTCTAATTAATGATAACAAATGAAAAATGAAAACAACCAAAAACACATAATTCACGAACACAAGACAACTACAGAAATGGACTTCAAACCCATCACCTCAATCCTTAAAATTTTAAATATACAGTATTTGAGTACAGTGTATATTGGTTACATGTTCACCAACAACTTTTAATAATAATACCAGTAGGTTCAGTTTACCTAAAGTGTGGGGGGGGGGGGGGGGACCAGCCTACATGTACATTTAAGTTAAAAACATATACCGGTAGAACTGATGGCTTCAGAATCATTATGCATTACAAAAATGTTTTAGGTGTTGCTTTTAATTGAACTCTAAATTCAATGTTTGAAATCAAATTATAATGATTTAGAGTAGTAACAATAATTAACTTATAAACATCCAAACTGAAGTTGTTAACTTGGGCACAGTTTGTCAAAAATTGCACCTCACATGTCTTACATGTATATAGTGCCCAAAAGTATGGGTTACTTTCTGCCATCTCATTTTTGACTTAATTTGCTTCTGGAATGGCTTCACAGAATTTGTATCTTTCTCTGTTGGCCATGAATTTTGATGGCAGCAACTTTATGATTTGATTTTCTGCAACAACTCTACAAGTACCGGTACTTGTAGCTACCCTATTTTCAAATGCCATGTAATTGGAAGCAGAACTATTTTTTTCCAAGGAAATGCTACAAAGCTGAGTGAGATACAGGCATGAAAGTTTTGGTCAACTGTCATTTAATAAAATTAATCTAAAGTGCTGTGCATTTAAATTTTATTATTATAATTCATCTTAATCATTCATCATTATTATTATATTTTTTGCATGAACAACATATGCAATTTGGGTACAAAAAGTGAAAAGTGCAACACAGGCGATTCGCAAGCGTAAGCGAATGTCGACAGTACACGTACAACGCAACGTGCATGCAAAAAATCCAGCAGATTCGTGTTTTCTTGGTGTCTACACATTCAGCCTGCTTCCCATTCATAGGCCTCTGTTTAAGGCTAGGCCGCTGTTCGGCTGGGTCTCTTTTTTCATTCATGCAGATTGACAATGGGGCTGGACCTGTATTATAGGACCAAAACCGGGGTTCAGAAAACGGCTTATTATACTGTATACATTTCCAATCGCATTTTGTTGGAACAGTTTTACTTCACATTTTATAAAACCCCTCTAGCTATGGTATGGAATATCCTCTCCTTATGGGCTCCATGTGCCAACAAAAGAAGCCACGCACGACGTTGTCGTAGAAGTTGAAATGTTTCTACTCTGACGACTGTTGATGTTTTTGAGTGCCGACTAATTCTGATCATTTTAATATCGTCCCAGTTACACTCAGGTCACAAAAAAATCTGTGAAATGAAATGTTCCCGCAGTCATAGCTCAGGCAAACCTTGATCCTGAAAAGTCAGTCGCTGACTGTTCTGTGTCGTCACAAGGTCGACCTGAGGGCAGCTTAATATTGCAGAACCAGTTTACTAGCACTGTATGCTGTACCACTGCACATACCGGTACTTGTATGATTGCATTTATGGCCAATTTTTAAAAGTCCTTTCTTCGATCTTTTGTTGAGAGCTGTTTTTAAGCTCCTTTGAGAAAATTGAAGAGTCGCGTGTGTGCACTCGTTTCAAATAAAGGTGTGGATAAATTAGGTTTGATGCAGTTCCTCCCTATCACCTACATTATTAATTTGTCTGTTCTTTTACCCCATTAGTCTGAACAGTATCTGTGTAGCTCTGTGGCTGTACCAAGACAAGATTCCTACATTAGTGAGTATTATGGATGTTCTTGTGTACAAGTACATGTACCATGTCCACTGCAATTAAAGTTAACATTGAAAATGGAAATTGGATTTTTCTGGGAAAATCGCTTCATATTTGCAATCACATTTCATGTTTTTGCCACAACTTTTCCTTGCATCTTCGCCTGCAACTTCATTACAAATTCACTACAAATTCACTGTGAAATGGAATGAAATTAATACCGGTAATTGTAATCCACACAGTTCTTGGATACTAGGGGTGTGGTCTGCAGGGAACCTGAACATCTGTAAATGTATGAACAAAAAATAATGTGGAAATACTTTTACCACTAGCCTGATTACTGGTAATTTATTGAAGCATTATAATTAGATAGATGCAAAACAATATATGAGTGTTTAAGTGATATCGCTAGTCTTCTGTAGTGGATGCTGTTTTGAGTAAATGTTTTGCCTTAATGTATGCCAAGAAGAATCCAAATAAGACTGGTTACATGTACATTTGTAGTGTTTAAATTTAGATTGCCTTGCAAAGTTGATTCAAATTGCTAACACGGTTGTTACCACCATGTACAACTCAATATTACACATGTGAGTCTGACTTCATGGTTATTGTTTATTGATGTTTTATATTGCATTCCTATTCAGATTTTTAAAGCAATTAACATTATCTTCCTTTCTGTCTTTGTAGTTGGATTTGAGCCTCATGCAAATATGGATACAGCCCACCATATGCTCCTGTTTGGCTGTGCTGATGTGAAGGCTTCTCCGGGTCTGTCCTAGTAAGTAGAGTGTACATGTACATTTGCCGTTACTTAGGGTTACCGTAGTTGTAAAAGTCTTTTTAAACAGAACACTGCACCCTTTTTTTATAATTGACATCCTCAAAAAGAAGCTGATTACATTGTTATTATTGTTCTTGACCGTGCGATTAATTTATATGTACAGTAGGCTACAGCCGGAAATGAAGTGAAATTCCATGCATGGAATCACATGTGGGTACTTTAACTTCACGCATGGCATCCTGTATAATTGAATAAATTATCAGCTTTTATGGGCATGTAGAGAGTTTTCCCAGACAAAGAACATATTTAAAGTGTTTTCTTCCCTTACGTTGCGTGAGGACACGATGCCACGTGTGTCACGAATTCACGATTGAGCCGGGCGTGCAACAAAGCAATGCCAGTTAATGTCAATACATGTAGAGTAATTAGTTTGTACAACTCATGTGTGTCGAGTGTTTGGCGTGACAACGTACGTGGAAAAAGTATAATCTTAATAATAAATAGCACATTGCAATAAATTCTGCAACCTTTAATTTTTGTTCTGTCAAGCTTGCGGTAGACAGTCATGTTTTGTCTTTATGCGCCCATGTCTACTAGCAGGGCGCTAGTTTTATGTTTACAATCATATGCTGTGTTCCACGTGTTTAGCGACTTTAAATATGACGTGATTTTAGATGAATATTCATACCGTATGTGCCTGCCTAGAAAGGAATGATAATTTTGACAACAACGAATGCTCTGTAGAATAACAAGGACGGTACACCAAGGGGTGATTTAGGAAAAGAGGAGAAGAAAGAATTCTCAAAGGGAAACTGAAGCACTCCTTTAAAGTGCATATGTATGGGTAGCGATTGCTAAGGCTGGAGCAAGTAATGTGGCCATTTTTACAGGTTGTATGGACAGACAGTTCGATGTGACACAAATCATCCCAAATACCATACCGGTACAACCCTTCATCCATCAGGTGTTCCCAAACAATCATCGCTTCCAACAAGATAATGATCATAAACACATATACTAGTAGAAGGGCACAGCAAGAGATGGACAACTTGAGAATTAAACTGGTGGAAAACCCCACCGAAATGTTATACATTTTATAATGTATGCAAGTTGGATGTGTAACTTGCGCACTTGCAAGTTTACATGAATATGACTGTAGGACACACTAACCAGGTAAATTACTTAAAAGCTCCTCTATTTATGTTGTTTTCCTCCCAGCGACTGCAATAGTATGGGTACATGTAAGGGCAAAGGCAGTATCCTGTTTGCCTGGGCGAGAAATGCTTCACAGCCAACGTTACCGAGAGGTAAGCATGCACGTGTTATGTTTTACTGTAGCAAAGCAGCATTCCATCCAAAAACAATAAAGCAATCATATGAAGAAACCTTATAATGTATCTTGGTCAACAACAAAAAAGAAACAGAGGTTTTCCTTTACACTTCTGTAGAGTGTTGGAGCCCTGCCAGAGGGGCATGCAGTGCATAAGCAATGAAGGCAAAACCCACACATGGTCATTTCTTATCTGTCAGCAGCAACTGTGAATATACGAGGGAAGAATTACATGTAACATGTGTAAGGGGTGGTTGGGTTTGAACTAGTTGCTTATTAATGCCAAAGCAAGCAGCAGTTAGCTGTACATTCAGTGCTGATCAGAAGAGGAAATTCTATTGGCCTGATAGGCAGGGATAGTAATGACAACACATGATGAGTTACGGACATGCGATTACATGGACTTATAAAGGATAGTAAATAAATGTAACACTTCATACAGAATACAGAATTGACTAACATGTATGCATTGTAACCGATGTCTGATATGTACATTTGTTTCTTCATGCAAGGTGTTGGTTTTCATATCGGTGGGAGCAGTGGTATCAACTATCTTACTCTGCAAATACATTACGGTGACATCAGTCATTTCAAGGGTAAGCAACCATTTCTATTTTTTCATATTTTATGATTCAACAGAAATAATAGGCTATTTGCTACTCGCTGAAAGTGGTTCCTCAGTGGTCAAGTAGTGAGACGTCTGCACTAGCAGGAGGGTGTAGGTTCCAGTAATTCCAGTAACTCTTGATTTTGTTCTTGCAAGCCCTCTGACAACACTGAGTATACAGTGTTTGTGAAGGGCAAAACCCAATATTAAAAGAAGTGCCACCCCCCGCCAATCCGTCCTTTGTGTTGCTCCTTGCAACCCTGCATGCTTGTGTGTTACCTATATATGCATGTTTGTTTCTTGTTCCTCTTTCGTTTGCCTCTGAAGAAGTCCTTGCTAAGATGAAATATTAGGCTGCTCTGATTTATGTATTTGTATATTCCAGGATAATCCAGTCGGTAAGCAGTTTGCAGCATTTTTATTCTTTTTCAAGAACTGAATTATTGTTAGGCCGCAGAAAAAAATATTTAAATTGTTTTTTTTTTAATTCCATCGTTACTATTCCATAACTAAACCTGGGCCAACTTTTCTTTAGGTGTGTCATTCAAAAGACAATCACTTTTGTACGTTGCTAGAAAGATAGCTATTTACAAATGTACACAAAAAGGTTTTTACAGGTGAAACTTGAGAATACAGTGTAGCAAAGACAGTACATCTGTTAATGTACCAAACTCAGTACAGAAGAGAAACATGATCAAAAAAGATTTGAGAAGTACAGTACATGCAATGGTAACAGTTTCCAATGTTAGTCAGTTTGGTAAAATGTGCATACATGTACGTGTACACCATGAACATGTATCTGATACTCACTGATGATTACATTTATTTTCATATTAATTGAAACAAATGTCCTAAAAGTTGAATGAAGATGAACTTGTATTTAATCTTTCTTTTTTTGTTTAGCCCTGATGCCAAGTTGTCTCTTTTTAAAGACGTTGTCCTACAAAGTAACAGCATAATAGTAATAACACAGTGACATGTACATGTAGAAGTAATTGTTTTGAATAGCAGGATACATGTATGTACATGTACTGTAATTAGCCATACTTCACCTTATATGCCTACCGGTATCTCATACATGTACCGGTACGTACATGTTGGCTGCAACCACTCTCCATCCACTTACCTGTTTACCAGTGAGGCCACGTGAAATTGTAACCATGGCAACCAGAGTCTTGTTACGTCAGTAACTCTGGGCTGTTCGTCTTGTGTGACCTGTGTAATTATAGAAATGGGTACAATTTATGATTATAGCTATCCATTGTACTGGGGGAGCACTGGTACCGGTACACATTCAAATGAGCTGTCGACGTGAATTGTAAATGAAGTAAACTTGTTATTCATAATTATGTGTAGTATCCTTAGGATTTTGATTGTTTGACACTTAGAATGAGCAAACTCTTCTCTTCATTTTGATAAGTGCTCAGTTTGATATCTGATGTATACATGTACATGTACAGATATTATGTGGTTAATACTGTTCCTTTTCATTTTAATTTTACATTTGATGTATTGGTTCCACCTTTTCTAGAAATTACACAAAATCAATCTAAAACTCTGATCATTTAATTTAGAATGTGATCTGATTGATCCATACATTTTTATACATGTAAACGTACTGTACTGAACACTGAAGCATACATGTACATCAATGCGAATTTGTTTTGTCTGTTTGTTGTTTAAAATCAGAAAAGGCCTTTTCCATTCATTGTCCATTTCTTTCATTAACAAACATTTGTAGGCAAGACGATAAATACATTATGTAAAACGTAATATACATCAAAACTGCATTCAATCTCCTAAGTTACTAGCTACAAATACCGCATCAATCGCCTGTCTAAGAATTTTTAACAGGTGTGTCTTCGGTGTGTGTGTGTGAGGGTTTGTTTATGGTGTAAATCCAGGACACACTTGTGAAACATCGCTGTGTGATTGAGTACAGGAGTCAAATCGATGATGTCCTCAATTACAAAACGTGTACAAAACCAATAGGAGCTGTTGCACAAAGTTGAGTATGAACAAAGGATCGATGATGAGGACCAATAGGAAATCTTTGATTTACACCATAAACAAACGTGTGTGTGTGCGTACATGTACATGTACCATATATGTACAGTGTGTAAGAGCCTGGGAGGGAGATAGTGTACAAATTATGAATGTTTATGATTGCAATGGTAAGATCAATTTCATGAGCTGACGGATGGATGTTCCATTCCACGAGGTGAAGCCAAGTTGAATGGAACATTCCATCTGTCAGGGAATGAAATTATGCTTTCCATTGCATGAATTTGAAACACTATTGATCATTTGTTTTATACAACAACTGAATACATCCTTGTCATGTGATTGGTCATAGCCGCCAATTGTGTGACTGTGCAATGGAACTTTATTTTACCGTGGAATAGAAATTCTACATGTATGCGCTTCCGCCGGGCCGTGGGTTAGGACGAATAATTCAATGACATGTGATCAATGACCCACCAATCAGATTGCGGACATTTATTCATGCGTTTTTATAAAAGTCCATATTTTCAATGTGTTTCCCATTTTTTTCCCCTGCCCTTTCCAAAATACAGACTTGTGTTACCAAAATCTACCTAAAATCTCCCAAACCTTTTGAAAATCAGGGCATAATACATTTTTCATGATCCTTTTTAAGCCTCAAGTAAAATATTTTTTAAGCGAGGACTGCACCTTACTTTACATGTACCGTACCGGTAGTATGGGTGGCATGAGTGGCATGGGTGGCTTGTGCGTAAAGCGCTTGCCTCTCACCACTGTGGCCCTGGTTCGAATCCCGGCCACGGACCATACATGCCATATGAGTAGAGTTGTGCGCTGGTTCTCTCCTGTGCCACAAGGGTTTTTCTCCAGGCCCTCTAGTTTTCCTCCCTCCATAAAAATCAAACACTTTCAATCTCAGGCTGTGCTCCGTGGTCATATATGGGTTGATGTGGCTTGCTGCCGGAGGCAAGGCAAGCGGCTCGACCACGTTGTAGCCGCGTCCTTCGTAATTCAGCTTTTTAGCTGCCTGTAAGGATGATTGGCCTCCCAAATAATTATTATTATTATCATTATCAGGCAGTGCTGTATCCTATGAAGCACTTTATGGACAAGTTTGCCCATTTTTACTTGAAAGATGGTTTGTTCTGGAACTGAAAATTGTATTCACAATGTAACATTTGCCGAAGGATGACCAGTTACAGAATCTGAAAATATGTTTATGGTAGGCCTAAGGGTCACAGAAATCTTGTTGGTAGGTTGCAGACATTTTAACACATGACATGTACATTTAATACAAGAACATTTGACTTGATATGTTACTTAGCTTCCTCATCCAACTCTTTCAAACAAGTACTCAGTACCTATCTGTTCACACCCTAATCTCCCCTTCAGCTTGTACCTATGGTAATGTTAAATTTCAAATGAGATGTGTTCGATTTAAGTATTTGTAAGTTTTGTAATTGTTTTTGTATATTGCCATGAGCGTCACTGCATTTCTGACTTTTAGCGCTTTATAAGAAGCCACTATTACAATAATTATCATTATATAATTAAATTATCTTTATGGATGCAAATGCTTACTCTTTATTTCAATACATAATACAAATACTTCTTTTTTAACAGTTTTATTATGTTTTGCATTACAATGCATGTAAATGTGGCAGGAGGCACATGTATCATTTACTCTTGAGGTGTACTAATTGGTACAATCTTGAATGTTCTTTCTATCTTGATTTGATTACAGGTAGGGACCATTCAGGATTATCCATGTATGTGACACTCAATCCGTAAGTATAGTGTGCAAATCCGTTTTTTGGGTTTTTTTTAACTGCATTGAATGCACGTAGGGGTTTTTGCACTTCCAAATGTCTTTTTTACCGTAGGTTCTAGGAAAGAAGAAATGCATGTATGGAGGATTTCTCATAGTACACTTTGGATCTGCTGCATACTGACAGCGTGGGACTTACAGGTTTCTTCTTTTTTCAAATTAATGCCAGTTGTTCCGTTTTACATACATTGTACATGAAACACCTATTAATAGGCACAATATGGATATTTTGATAAATGTTATTACACATGTCCCTTTGTGCATGCATGTCTGCATGATGACAAATGTCTGAGTTTATTGGACATATTTCTCAGGAGTGTCAGAGTGCCAATTCTATAACCCAGAGCCTAGATCAGCCAAGGCTATGCTGGGTGTTCTCAGTTGTGACCTGTTCTGTCAAAATCAGACTTTTCTGGGCATAAGGTCGAAAATGATATTTTTACATATTGTTAACATATGTTCTTTTCCCTCTTAATAGGTGGTTTAATTTTTGAAACCGGTCATTCCTGGGCAGAGTTATGCTATTTTGAAGTTCATTGTGTCGAAAAGTAGAAAACAGAGAAAATGGCCACAAACGTCACAAAACAGTTATTTCTTTAACTGATATACCTTATCAAAATCATCAAAAATAGAATATGTAGAGTTCAAATTAGGGTTTCAAACTTTTATATATATTTTAGACATATGTTCAGGATTACAAATATGCAAACATTTAAAAATCGATAAAAATCACCCCCACAGCGTTTTTTGGCCCTATCTCAATTTTAACCTCTGCCCAGAAGCGTCTGCTTTGGACAGAACAGGTCACAGTTGTGTGATTTAATTGGATTGGGGAATCCCTGTAATTCCTAACATGCCTAAAGGAAGTCATTCATCAACATCGATATTCATTGCAATCACATCCAATTTCCTGGTGCATGTCAATAGTACGGTACTTGCAAAATGACAGGGCACATGTACATTTACCTGTGTTTGTTCATATCAATAGGCAACCATATGCTGGAGGTATCTACCTATTGGGATCAGGGTACATGTCCATTCCACCTCAAGTATCAAGTAAGTACAACATAATACATGTTTTCAAAACAATCTATACATGTAATAACAAAACTTCTGCCCTTAAATGTTAAAGTTATAAATCTGCGCTGGCCTTCCCGGCCAAAAATTTCAGAACTCTGTAATACAAACTACCAGACTACCAGACCTTTTGAACAAGGGCCTAATATGTCTCTACAAGTAAGGACTTTCATTAGTTTGTGTTCCGAGCGTCACAAGAACACATACTGCATGTACATGGGCGTCGCTTGCCCCCCCCCCCCCCTCCCCCTCCCCCTCCCCCCCTCCCGGAAAGGCCACCAGAAAAGGGGGGGGGGGATTAAAGAAAGAAAAAAAAGTGCAAAGTCATATTGCTGTTAATTTAATGGGTTGGGGGGGGGGGGCCAAATATCCCTGCCCACCCTCGAAAAATGATAAATCGTGAATATGCTGGAAAAGTACAGGGATTTCGGGGAGAAAATGTGCTTTGCCCCCTCTAGAAAAAAATCCTGGCAACGCCCATGTGCATGTACCAAAGTATGTACAATATAAAGGTGAACTAGAAATAGTTACGTGTACATGTACATCTGATGAATATTTAACTGGGGAGCTGAAAGACATATAAGGTTGCTGCATTTGTGTTTACTTTTTGATAAAGACAACAATGGTGAGTTTATACTTGCTAAAAAAAAAAAGATGCCAGAAAATGTACCAGAAAATGCATTTTTTTTTAAAATAATGTGGAGAAACCTTTTTTCATATTAAATTTAAATAAAGGACATACATTTGAAAAGAAAAAAACCCAATTTGTCAGGACAACTGACTGAGATTTAACAAACACCAATGTATATAGAACATTCCAAATTACAAAAGTTTGTTGAGACTTTTGTTTTGGCGAGCTGCAAAGCAGATGTAGTCCGTCCTTCAGTCCATCGGAGGTCTGGCCATCTGCTTGTCCGGATGTCTGCATTTAACTGTTAAAGTTGTTTGTTTCTATTTATTAAAGTTAGTTTTGAAAAAAAAATGCAGTTTATCAGGTCTTCAACTTCCAATTAAGGTTCATTACCTCATTTATGATTTTAAGGCCAAAAAAAAATAGTCGGTCTCTGGTCAGACCAAAGTTCCGGAATTGATGTGGCGACGCGTTTTTTGTTTTTTTTTTGTTTTGTTTTTTAGGCATGGATTGTACAGACAAGGTGGGTACTATATTTTGCTTTTTTGTGCCCTCATATACATTGGTTTCCTCCATAATTTGCCTTGGTGCCCTCCATCATTTGCCTTGGTGCCCTCCATCATTTGCCTTGGAGCGGTTTCCCCATTCCTTGGTACAAAACTTTGAGAAGTTGCGGCAAAAGAGGGCACTGTTGTAGCTACTGCAGACAATTTGAAGAAAAAAAAAGGTTGACGCGCATGATTAAAATCGACGCGCGCGCTGACCAGAGACCAACTATTTTTTTTTTGGCCTAATGAGGATTTCTTAATTTTAAAAAGTTTTTAATTGTTATTAATAAATACCTTGGAGAGTTGATGGTTTCTGATTGGTCGAGACTCGATCACGTGGCCGGGCATTAACGGTGATAATGGACCGGCTTCAAAGATCAAGCGAATAAATGGCCCTTGAACCAGCATTGATCAAGCCCCGTTCAGCCCCATGCAAGCCAATGATTGGTCAAAATAGTAACAGTCCTGCAGTAGCTTGTAACAATAGAGCACTGCACATGCGCTCAAGCCCCATCGCGTGAGACTGATGCGCGCGTACGCAACACAGTTGCTAGGGATGCGTGCGTGCGCGCGCGTAAGGAAGTTTTGAAACGACATCGTACAGCAGTGCAGTATATACTGAGGATGTTTACGACGAAAGCGTAGATCTACGATTTATTTTCTTTGAACACTTCACCCACCGACATATTTACCTTTCCTAAACCAAGCATCTTTTTAATTCCGGACACAAGGAATGTGTAAACGAGATTTCAGCTTCCTCCATCAGGTAAAGATATGAAAACGTTGTTGTAATTTGTTTCGTTACGGCAGCTGTTTCTGTTGAGATTACGTCGTTATAGCTGTTAAGCTAAATATGGCCCATGAACATAAACACAAAAAAGTCTGGAAATATCGCCGGAAAAAAGTCACAAAATTGGAGCATTTTAACTGTTTATTTCGTTAAAAAGGTATTTATTAATGGGAATAACAGTGTGAGGATCCGGTCTTCACTGCGTGATAATGACCGGGTGTGGGGGTGACCGCTGTTTTTGTAAATATGGTAAGGTCGAGCGTCCTTATTCAGTTACTGGGCGCGCCTCGGCCCGCCGCGGCCCTTTGCGGCGGTTTTTTTTTACCCTCCCGAGTTCTCAGTGAGCCCGGCGCAGTGCGGCGCAGTGGACCCAGCCACAGCTCATTACCGATCGGCTATTGTGTTGGCATCATTGTTATGTTAATTGGGCACTCTACCAGCTAGCCGCTCGGCTCGCTGCGGCAGGCTGTGAAGATTAGTTGTCAGTGCGCCCCGGTAGCCCGAGAAGATTATCTCGTTTAACAACAAAGGCGATTAACTCCCCACGAACAAAAGCAATTGACCCCTTCTATTATACTGGAGTTTCAAAGCAGCACGTCTAAAGCCAGAAATGGTACCTTTCTTTCAGGATTGGTGTATTAAACTCCCCCCGAACAAAAGCAGTTCACCCCTTCAATTCAACAGGTACAAGTGGAGTTTCAAAGCAGTACATGTTCATGTAAAAACTAGAATTGGTACCTTTTCTTTCACGATTGAAAAAAAGTGTAGGCCTACATGTACAAACTTGGTGAAAAGATGCGTAGGTGACATAGGTCTAGTGTATGTTTTCAGAAACATAAAGTTTTATCTCAAAAACTGGGAGGATGGATGCTCGGAATAAAATAATGCCATCTTGCGGGACGAATTTAATAAGTCTAGTAAATATTGGGGAGGCTGCACGCACGAAATAAATGGAATAATGGGATCGGGTGGGGCGAATAAAACCCGTCAATATTTTTGGGAGCTGGATGCTCGGAATAAAATAATGCCATCTTGCGGGACGAATTTAATAAGTCTAGTAAATATTGGGGAGGCTGCACGCACGAAATAAAAGGAATAATGGGATCGGGTGGGGCGAATAAAACCCGTCAATATTTTTGGGAGCTGGATGCTCGGAATAAAATAATGCCATCTTGCGGGACGAACTTAATAAGTCTAGTAAATATTGGGGAGGCTGCACGCACGAAATAAAAAGAATAATATGGGATCGGGTGGGGCGAATAAAACCTGTCAATATTTTTGGGAGCTGGATGCTCGGAATAAAATAATGCCATCTTGCGGGACGAATTTAATAAGTCTAGTAAATATTGGGGAGGCTGCACGCACGAAATAAAAAGAATAATGGGATCGGGTGGGGCGAATAAAACCCGTCAATATTTTTGGGAGCTGGATGCTCGGAATAAAATAATGCCATCTTGCGGGACGAATTTAATCAGTCCAGTAAATATTGGGGAGGCAGCACGCACGAAATAAAAGGAATAATGGGATCGGGTGGGGCGAATAAAACCCGTCAATATTTTGGGAGCTGGATGCTCGGAATAAAATAATGCCATCTTGCGGGACGAATTTAATAAGTCCAGTAAATATTGGGGAGGCTGCACGCACGAAATAAATGGAATAATGGGATCGGGTGGGGCGAATAAAACCCGTCAATATTTTTGGGAGCTGGATGCTCGGAATAAAATAATGCCATCTTGCGGGACGAACTTAATAAGTCTAGTAAATATTGGGGAGGCTGCACGCACGAAATAAAAAGAATAATATGGGATCGGGTGGGGCGAATAAAACCCGTCAATATTTTGCCGAGGCTGAATTAAAAAGATTTCTTAATTCCAAATAATTTTTTTTCCAGGAATCGGACTTCATGATCTCACTAATTATATAAAAGAAATCAATAACATAGAGATAAGTTGCATTATTCAATATTTTTTCTGTACTTTATTATTTGCTTCTCTTACCATTCCTTCTATACGATTTTAATAGTAGTTGTGTGTATTTTTGACTACAGTATTACAATTACAACATTATTACAGTTACAATTACTTCATGAGACACTAGCTCGCTGTGATAAAATTAACTTAAGAAAACTACAGCCCTAGTTTTGTGGCAAGTTTTCTACATTTCCCGTTGACGGCGTCAGTGACCAATTTTCTGTATGCATCACTCTCTGTCGCTCCAGGGAACTCTTTCCCTGCCTGCGCTAGTATCGCCTGAAAAACCATTTGGTGTTTTAGTGGACTCTTCTTGATAACGACCCCCCCTTTGCAGACTACTTCCCCCCCATGATAATTGCTTCGGGCCAGATCCCCCTCAGAAAACAAGACCGATAATAACTTTAGTACTAACTCCTTGGGGCCGGACACTTTCGAATGCACATCTACATAGGCTGATCTATTAATGAGACAAGTGGACACCCCATCCAAACCGATGACTACTTCCTCATCATCTTCATCGGTGTCAAGAGACCGCTTCGTACCTATAAAAAAAATAATGAAGTTTAAAATCTGCAATACAATGGCATTTGGAAGAATTCTGGCGTATACATAAAATATTTAACAATTACAACAGTAAGCATAATAGCACACGAATAGCTATGAATGGGATTTTATTCTGAACGCATTCTGCAAGCCCTGTTCTTTTCCGGTAAAAAAGTCATGTATACACTAAAAGTTTTCAAACATGTTTTGACTTCCGTTTCAATGAACATTCAATTGCTGTAGAATTTGGGCAGTCATCTGGTCAGGACTTCATTTACACATGGCATGATTTCTCGCTTGACAAAATACAAGTATGAAAAAATATGCAATGGGCATTGCTGCATATATCGTGGTGTGCGATGTTTAAAAGGAGATTTACCGACCATACAAGTAAATATCGGTCCATGCAAGTGCAGATAACAAGCCTCGTTTTGCTGATTTTCAATTTCAAATGTAAAACAAAATGCTACAAAGTGTAGCAATTGTCTTGACTT